TAAATTCAAACTCCTTGAGCAGGAAGCTCGAGAGTGCTCCTCCTACGACTCGGATTCATGTGTGTGTCCGAGGAATCCCTGCTCCGGAGACAATAAACTTGCTGCGACTGCAATTTCTCAGTTATTTGTCGAGGGCGTGGTGGGGAGAGGGGAGGATTTCAAGGAGGTACGAGTCCGGGGATTGAGATATGATAGGAAAGTGGATGACACTCGTGTCAGCCAAAAGCAGCCCGGATCAACTTCCTTGGCTTTCCGGACTCCATCTGTTTGCTTTTCCGTGCACTACTTTGGAAATGGGATTTGAAGATGGAGATTTGGAATAGCCAGCGCCGGATTTGAGCAGAAAATTAGCTTCATTAATGGATGACTTATTCCTCCCAGTGCCAAAGTGGATAAAAATTCCCTAGATTATAGTAGTACTACTTTTGCATGCGAATCCACGCAGCTGCAGTCGCATTTCGCTCAATCAGCGTTGAAATTTATTATGCTCCATAATCATTTGTCATCTTTCCATTTTTCCCGTTTTCCCCAGACCCCCACGCCGCCATTTCGCCCATCCATCCATTCCCATTTGACGCCCGCAGCGCAGCGCATTAAAATTTTTCGCAACATTTTTCACGCATATTCAGCATTCAACATTCAGTGTTCAGGGTTTGGTGTTCGGTGTTCGGTGCTCAGTGCTCAGTATCCAGCAAAAATGGCAACTGGAGCACGGGCCACGCTCCATTTGACCGGGCCAGTGCGATGGGATCCAGGACGGGTCATAAATATCCGGAATATTGTTAAGAATATAACAATTCTCCACTCGGAGCACACTAATGTCAGTTGCCAGTTCCCTCTATCTCTTTGCCATTTTCGCCGCTCTTGATACATTTTTATTGCGTTCGAGGGCCGAGGGCCGCCGCTTTTTTATGGCTGTCCAAAGGAGGTCAGTGCTAGTTCAATATGGTGTCGCCCTCAGGAGGAGTATGTCCTTTCAGTCGAGCTTCATCTATTTTAAATACACACGAAACTTTAAGGAGATTTCAGTTAAGAAACATTGCAGCCTTTGAAAACTTTAATTACCAAAATAAACTCAAGAACCGTATATCCTGTATAGTAAGCCAAATAATCCAATGTTTTTCTTTGTCTGCAGTGACAACAAACCGTTTTGTATGTAAAGGGATAACGAGCACAGGCACTTCTTCCCCCACCAAGATCCTTAAATTATTCAATAAATTTGCAAAGAATATCTCAACAATGAAAACAAATTTCTCTTTTTCACTGCCAGTGTGCATTCTTTTCATCGCTTTCACCATAAGGGGAAAATCCATAATTCATGCATTCGCCAAATAAGAAAAGCGTCGGGTAAAAGCCAAAAAACAAGAACGCAGAACCAATGAAAACATTAACAAGCAGCAATAAAATATGAGCCAGCGAATGTAAATCGCTTTCCATAATTCATAGCCCTGACTGCGACTTCGCGCCGCTGCTGGCTGGCTTCCTACGTACATCTCTTGGGTTTCCGCCGTAGATTTCCCGGGAAGCGTCGTAAACCCATCGAAGTCTGTGGGCCATCGTTAAACTAATGAAATTTCAATTCGGATGACGCGACACCATGTCCATGACCTGACCGTACCTCCGTACCTCCGTCCTCCGGAAAATTCCACGAATTTTTCGCGCACTCGCCACGCCAACGAAATTCATAAATTCCCTGGACGACGAAGACGCCTCCTTTCCCTTCTAATTTTTTTCCCACCTCGTCGAGGCAGGACAATGTTGGGCAACGGAAGCAGGTCCGGTATGGGTTTATTCTTGGGTCCACGATTAACCGGCAACGACAGGTGAATTTATGATGAAGTGAGTCGTCAGCATTGTTCCAGTCCCACTCCACTCTGCCGGTCATCGGCATCCTCCTCGTTTCCTAGGCAGGTCGCGTGTAAATTATGAAAACAGGCGATAAAAACGAAAGTAATTCAAAATCTTCGACGTGTGCGAGGGTTTTATAGCCGCAGGAGAAAGTGGAGAAGGAGCCCCGAGACTCTCCCAGGAGCCTTCTCCCAGCCTCACTTTCTCCGCTAAGATTTATATCGCTGGATTTATTATCCTGTTAGCGCCACTGCACTTGCTTATCGCCCAGGCAGCATCCCGGGCCAGAACAATAAGTTGTTTATGACCTGCGGATAGGATGAGTAAGTGCGATTCGATTCTTAGAGCCTACCTGTTTTCAATGTTATAACATTTTATTAAATGCAAAGGGAATTTCAATATATTTATTTTGGCGGGGGTCTGGGTTTATTATAATAAATTCCACATAAATAGAACCAAAGGGCTTTACTTGAGAATGTTATTCCCTCTGCCATTTAATATATCTTCAATATATTTCACCAACCACTAACGTGTTATTTCCTGGCAAGCACACCCCTTTCTAACGGTAATTGGAAGCCATTTTGCTATGGCGCTGTGTCGCCATATTAATTCGAGAGTGAGCGAAAAGCCGCAAATAAAAATGTCCCATTTAATTTGTGTGTAGGGTCGGTGTATGCAATTCGCTCAATTAAATTACACTTGAACCTATTAGACGCTGGAAATGCCGCCGGTGGTGGGCGGAAATGGCTTTGACACGCGATTCGGCTATCAAACAGTGTCCCCAGCCCCCCCAACCCGAAACTTTAAAAGCCCGACAAGGACTCTGCCGACCACATTAATTTGGAGCCAGGTCAGCGTGGCAGGGGGTGTCGACTTTAAAGCTGTAATTAGTAGGAATACTATCATCCAGCGACGTTACGGAGGGCGCACCTACTGTTTGAAAAGTGTTTGCTCATTGGGTGGGCGTGGTCCCATGTCCGCGGACCAGCAATTAGGCCCTCCTTCCTAGGGTCTTTTTGGCATTTGCACACAGCGCTTTTCAGGGCTTGTTGCCCTGCGGTTTTCCTTGCGGAATCTGTTTTTGGTTGTTTTGAAAAGGATACATGGTTGAAGCTGATGGAAACTGTGATGCAGTGAAAACATACTCCACATTAAAGTTGAGATTCCCAAAACAATGTTTCCTTTTTCCAATCTTGTCTAATTGTATGCACTATCCATTCAACTAAGGGCAAAAATCGTGAAAGGATTCACCAAAAACTATCCTAAAAAGTTGAGAAAAATGTAGTTTTCCCTGCTTTTCATCCGCATGGAGACCACCCAACAATTTCTGGGCTTCTATGCAAATCCAGCTCGCACACATTCCGGCTTTCCCTCTGTTTTCGCGGTCTGGAACACTTTGTTCTCACCTTACCTGGCCCTGGCTCCGACACAGGCACATCTCATTGTTCCGTATCGGCGCTTTGTATCTTTAACAAAATTGCAAAACCGCAGGAAAAGCAGCAGCACGATGGGGGAAAAAATCCTGGAGCGGGTCGGAGGGCAACCGCGTGTAATGCGAGAACCTGTCCGATGAGAGGCGCCTGATTAAGCTCAAAAACCCAACAACCGCAAAGGGTTCGCAATCCGAATTTCCAACTGAGCAATCGAAGCAGAAACGCCCAATCGCTTTAATATTTATGCGGGGATACAGAGGCCTCCCATTTGCATTTAGCGAATTATTCTCATGCAATTTTCCAGACAATTAGACTTGGGGGTAGGCCAATCCCCCGGGGGTCCTTTTCTCCTTCAATCCCCACATATCACGCACAAAAAGAGAGTGGCTTAATGCTCCGAGAACTGTGCTGCAGTTTCAAAAGGATAAGATACATCCGTATCCGAGGACTAAAGTAGCTCGACAGTTGCCGCACCGAACCTATTTCACTTGCTTTCGCAACTTGTGAGAACAGGCAGACGTGTGGAAAACTTTTCGCCGAATTTTATATTTATTTGCCCTACTTCCGGAAAAGGGGGCGGCCGAGGGGCGTGGCCGGGTTCTGGCCCGGCCAAAAATAGGCGTTTTCATCGGCAGCACCAGTCGTCGTCGCCGCCGTCGTCATCATCATAAAAAAACAAGACGATGGCAAAAGTTTTTCAATTTTTGCCACAACTTTACCCTGTCCCCGCCCCTCGACGTCCGCCCTCGGTCCTCCCCAGTCATCTATCCGATCCTTAGGTGTAGGTGTAGCAGCCCTCGAGTTGTGTAAACATTTGTAGTTTACTTTCAGTTGGCAGGCGGCTCGTAAAATCTGTCCGTTTCGCTTCAACTGGAAACGTTTTAAAAACTGTCTCGTAACTCTGACCCGCAGGCAGTGCTCCCGCCATCCCGCCCCATCCGACCTCTCCCCCAGATACACCCAAGTTTGGGTTTGTTTTGCCAAAAAAAAGGACCACCGATTGAATTAGAAAATTATGCTGAAAGTTATTTGGATTTAAGAAGTAGGGCTGCCCATTGAGGGAGATGAAATTAGGTAATAGGATAGAAAATTACTCAGGCAGGAACAGGAAAACTAAACTTAGGGATGAATGTGAACTGGACTAAACTAAGTAGAAAGAATAATAAGAAAACACAGTTTATAACTCGGGAAATTAAAAGAAAACTTTGGGTCAACCCATGGGAGAAAAAAGTTGGCAAAACTCATTGGAATTCGATTAATAGTAGAAGGAAAACAGAAAATGGCAGTCTAATTTATAAAGTTTATAGGCCTTGGATTGTTTAAAGATTAAAAATAAATAAAAAAGAATGAAACCCATTTCTTATTGTTTCCCATACCGGGAATTGAACCCGGGCCTTCCGGGTGAGAGCCGGATATCCTAACCACTAGACAATATGGGACTTGAAATCCCCTGCAGCTAGTATCAGTACGAAAATTAAGTATACTTTTCTAATTTAAATATAGATTTACTTATATTTTTTTATGTTTATGTGTTACTTATGTTTTTGGAGAATTTATTTTAATATAACTGTGTTGGAGGCAGTTTTTCAACCATATTTTTAGGCAAAGGGCTTAAAATCTTAGGCTGTTTAAATAGTCACATCGTTTAAAGTAAATAATTTAAAAATAAATACATAAGAAAAACAAAATATAAAAATCATCCACAGAAGTTTCCCATACCGGGAATTGAACCCGGGCCTTCCGGGTGAGAGCCGGATATCCTAACCACTAGACAATATGGGACTTGATAAGGTAGCTGCCCAGTGAACTTGTTCTGCTTGCTCACCGACCGGTTCTAAAAATAGCAGACATAACTCGGACTTCTAGGCCTTCTTATCTCGATCGTCTCTATCGGCGTTATCATCAGCCTTACAATAATCAGGTTCAAGATCTTCGGACTCGGAGAATCTAAAAGAACGAAAAAGTAAACATTTTATTGGCAACTATTTGAAATATAACTCACCCGATTTCCGAGACCTCACTCTCATTTGATTCGGAACTACAAAGTATGCATAAATCACTGGACTCCAAAAAACACGCTTGACAGTAGATTCCCTTGCACTTGGGCAGAGAACAGCTAACGTAATTGAATCTGGAAAGGAAATGCAAAGAATGAGTACCCTATTCAGTTAATGCCACAAAAGTACAAACCTTTGGAGGGGCCTGTGGCAAATAGTGCATGTTTTTCCTATAAAATATCCTCGACAACCATTACTGCACCTGCAGGGGTTGATTAGGTTTAAAAAAACAACCAAGAAAATTCACTAATTTTGAAACAAAAACTTACCAAGTGTTTAAAGAACTCATCCACGAGGCACACAGTAGAACAAAGCTTGGGCTCTTGTCGGAATAAGAATTTAAACAGCGAGCTCTTTGGCGACTTGACCTAATTAGATCATCTATTTAAGCATTGTTAGTTCCGTCTATTTCTAAAGTCTTTAAAATCTCACCCCTTTCCCTTAGTATAGTGTTATATAGGGCGATAGCTCTCCTCTGGGCTTGCTCTGGATAAAAATAGGCCATAATCCGATGCCTTTTACGGAGTTCGTAAGGTTCCAAAAAGACCAAAACCCACGCCAAAATGTATAGAATAAATATAAAGCAGTAAAAGAGATACTTTGGCTTTCTGGGGATTATTAGACATTTGTGCTCATCGACATCAAAATATCTTGGCTCGAAAGCGTTTACAATGCTGCGCAGAAGATGCACGATTGTTCCTTTTCCTTTTATTGCCAGACGGTGGTAATCTGAAGAAGCTTAGGATATATTTATATATAAATAATATGTTATTTGTTTTAGCTTGTACATTACAATCTACCTGGTACTATTTTTGACACCTTACTGTAATGAGACATCATCTTAATTAAGACATAAAGACTATAATCCAAGAAACAAATACTAAAGAGTTGAATTCCCATAATAACCAAGAAAACTCGAGAATGCTTTAGTGAGTCGAATTCTTCTGGAAGGAGTCTCATCGAGTTTATCTGAGAAAAGATAGGATTATTTTAAAGTTAATTAGTTTAAAGACTTACCTCGACGTATTTATTTTCTTCAAAACTTCTCAAAGGCAACGCTTTGACTTCCAAGCTCTCAAACTGCTGCTCTTCGTAGATCTTGAAGTCCCGGGTTATGTAAACATTGTTATAGTCCTTACTCGCAAGGTAACGAAAGCGAAAGCTCGTAGCTTTCAATATAAGATTAAAAATTAATATAAATATAATAACGTATATAATAGAATACACCAAGAACAGCTTGCGTCTTTGCCAGTCCATATATTTATAGATTTCTTGATGAAGTCCGAGATCCTTGTCACATATAGAACCGACAGTTGACCAATCAGTGTTGTGTTCAAAAGTTATGGTAGCCATAAAAATAAACCTTAGTTTTACAAAGATTATATGCAAGCCTGTAAAAATGTTAATAATTTCCATTAAAATATATTTCGGAAAATTTTAACATACGACGAAATATGTCTTCCATAAGTTCTTCTTGAAGTAACAGATTTTTGTCAAAAAAGCTTGTAAGACTTTCGAGGTCTTTACAAAACCAAGAAAAATGATCTTCCTTATTGGATTCCTCGGATTGACTATTTAACTGCTTTTCAACCAAGAATCCAGCTGCCAAACATCTATTAAAAGGTGACCCCATCTTGTAATTAAAGAAATCATGCTGCAGGTCTAGCCACTCTATGCCAGTCCTATAGGTGGCTTCTGCGAAGAGTCATCTTCATTCAAAATCATCATTAGTAAGATAAGTAGTGCCTTACGAATATCAGCTATTGGTAACTCCATGCGCACCAAAATCTTGTCCAACTTGTTTATAATTTGGCTAATGGCTGACAGAGTCCCTTGAAACGACTCCTGCACTGGATAAGATGGCTCCGCCATAACACGGTGCATCTTTTCCAACGCAACGAAGAGCAGTTTCCCTTCGCAGGTGAGACTATGCCCCAAAATGGCAATGTTAAAAATAAAATTTGTCACCGGTCCCGACAATGCCACAAGAAGGGCACAGGATATTACCAGAACACGGTAATGGACTAGGGTCGGAAGGCATAACGCCAAAATGCATCTTGGAGAGAGATCATTTTAATAAACATGCAAAAGATTTCCGAAACTACCCACCTTCCTGGTCGTGTGAGTACCATTAAGAGAAGGCCCAGACCGATGACTACCAAAAATAACCATTTCGCGTTCAGATCTCTGCAGGCCTTCTGTGGATTTCGGTAATACCAAATCTGAACTATCAAAACACCGACAATATATCCTGCGATCACGTAGAACATAACATTGTCACGACAGTCCCATGGCGCTTTTATTTCGCTATCTTTGGGAGGACATTCAGGAACCTCTTTCTTTCTTGTTTCATCTTTTGATTCTATTGGGTAAATGGGTGGCTCTCCTTCAGGACTGCAATCCCGCAGGTTCCTGGAGTACCTCTCATTCCCCTCTTTAGTTACATCGAAGCTTCTGACACATCTGTCGGTATCGAGGTCCTGGCTTTCATTTCCATCATCCGAATTAACAACCTCGTAACAATAATCCTCCATTTTTTCAATAAATAAGCTTTATATTTGTTTCTCTAGAACAGACTTAAAAGTCCAGGAAATCTTATGATAAATTTATGTTTATTTAGGAATGTAAATTTGGAAAAAAAAAGTTTCCCATACCGGGAATCGAACCCGGGCCTTCCGGGTGAGAGCCGGATATCCTAACCACTAGCACTAACCATACAGCATATAGACAACCCATTTCATACAACGAAAATGGACGCGAAAATTTCTTGCGACAGGCCCCAGCAGGCCCCAGAGCGGATTTCTTACGCTCTCTTACGCTCATCGTTCGTTCATCTTACGCTCATTCTCGCAATAAATGTTTTCTGTTTCTCAGTCTCTAAACGGAGCGCGATGAAGAAGGTTGGCCTGCGCTTCGGTTGATCTTTGTATGTATGCGTGTCACACATTCACATACATGGGTGTATGTGTGCGTGCGATTTCGTTTCGAAGCCAGCGCACAAAATTTTGATTTTTCTTACTTTTAAGGCTTGCTACCCTAACAAAATTCGGGTATTCGTTATTTGATGAAATGACGAAAGAAATTATATTATTTTTTATTTTATTTTTTTTTATTATTTCAGCATACATTTTTAATTTATTTAGGAATAAGATTAAGTGTTAGTAGTAAAATGTTTTCTGTATATATATTTTTACGAATCATTAAAAATCAATATACTGAGAAAGTGTCAGAGTATATTTCGGTCGGAGTCACTTAAAGCGCCGATTGCTTTTAAGTTTTTGTTGTTCTGCAAGAGGCTTGTGCATGCCTACTCTAACGATGGAATGATTTTTAGGGGATGTATGGTTATGGTTAGTGCCACTAGACAATATGGGACTTGATGTTTATCGATAAGTAGTGTTGGCAAACGGTTAAGTTTCTTTCCATTTTTATATAATTTATTTTTAAATATTTATATTGGTCTCAGTAATATTTCCATTTTAATAAGAATACAAACAAATTAGGGCACAAATTATGGAAGTTATTTTAGAAACTTCAAATGATTTTTAAAATGGAAACAAATTCTTCCAAAAAAGTTTCCCATACCGGGAATCGAACCCGGGCCTTCCGGGTGAGAGCCGGATATCCTAACCACTAGACAATATGGGACTTGAAAATGGCGTCGGCCCGGTTCCCGTTACAGTTTCTTCAAAGCCAGATGACGATCCTTTATATGGGACGTGGTAACTGACGTCCATCAACCTAACGAATGGGGCTGTCAACATTCAATTTTAAACTTTAATCCCCCCATCCCGAGGGATCCATATGCTGCTGTTCAGATTTACTGTAATGAGGGGTCAACTTCATATAACCTTTTTCGGAATTAATTAAAAACCATTCAACACTTGGGCTGGCAGTTGCATTTTTGAATGCCCACGACAACTCAACGGACTCCACTGGCTGGGAATGAAGCACATAATCATCAATTATTCGCACAATTACCGCAAACAAATAAATATTCTTAATTTATTGTGTTTTCGAATCGGGCTTGGCCGCCCACAATGGCAACAGGCGGTGGCGGTGGCGGCGGCGTCGGTGTCGGTGTCGGCGAATGCAGACGAAAAATCTCTACGAAAAATATTAAAAATAAATTTCCAACCCGAAAGAGCAAAAACACACAAATATCTGAAGAGTGGACGGACAGGGCTCCGAGGGCGAGGGCGAGGGCTACGTTGCGGTATTGAGATTGATGTTCATAAATTAATTCCCCGCCGTCTCCTCCATGGCTCTGGCCTCTGTGATTTCATTGTATCTTTGTAAGGGGGTCTGTCTGGATGTCTGGATGTCATGCGATAAATTTCATAGATGCATTTGGTAATTTCAATTTGTTTTAATGTGTCGCTGCTATCCTATTCTATTTTATTCTCCTCTGGCGCGGTAGACACATATAACACATATAATTTGAGGTTTATTGGCCGTGCCGCGGTGTTGCTCGGCTATTTATATCTGGCCTCGTGGGATGATCTTAGTCTACTGCCCCCCGTCATAGCAATTGTCGCTGCTTATCAGTGTGTGGTGTGCTGAGGGGCGGTGGAGCTTTTGAAGTTTCCCCACGGCGGAAATGGATCTCGTACATCTCTTAAAGATCCATAAACAGCACTGAAATATGCACTCAGAAACAACAATAATTTTCTTTAGATTATGAGGCAGAAAATCTTTTTCTTAATTCAACCAATAAGATCTTGAAGGATAATCCAATTGATAAACATTGAGCCAGTATTGCTCAAAGTTAGTGGGTCTTTTTTCTTATAGTGTACCAAAAAACGCTCAATAAATCAATTTACTTTTCTGACACGTTCTCTATGCTGGACAAACATTTCCTGAATACCTCAAAGGGATTTACAAGGCTTAGTCCCGGTGGCGCCATCATTCGTTTTCCGAGGATTAGAGCGGAGGATTTTCCATCCAGCTTCATCATAATTAATAAACTGTCGCAATATACCGATGGCTGTCGCTGCTTTATTTGTATCTCTCGTGGTGTGGCATTTCGGCATACAGCCAGCTAGCCACATAAATTTTGGAGCTTCCACACATGTACTGGCCGTAAAATAACGTTATTTCGGTTCTGTTCCGCCTAACGATGTCATCAGTGTGGCTCTCACCTCACCTGAACTCGCTCCGGTAATCGCCGTTTAGAGCCGGCTTCCTATTCCTATTTCTATTCCCCCAACTCCGGAGTTGGAACCCACTCCACTGGCACTACTTGGGTGTCCGAAATTTGTCGCGCGATGAGAGAAATTTCGTTTGAATGGTTTCCGCAATGAAGCGACACGACTGACAGCCACCGAGGAATTATTACTCCGGGTCTTTGGAGGAACTGCAACCGTTTTCCACGAAAATTCAGCCCATAAAATGCGGTAAAATCATTGCCAGGTTGCCGGGTTGGGTCTGGGTTGTCTGGCCCCAACCATTCTGCGTTTACGTTTTGAGAACTTCCTCCGCTACGACTTCCCCAAATTTTCCCAACCTCGCCGACTGCAACTGGTCTTTGGTCAGTCTCGGATCTGGTACTTCATTTCTTTTCATTAGCCGCCCGCACTGTCTGCCATCTATGGACAGACCGGAGTCATAAAACGTAACTGGTTACTCCGCGTAAATGTTCTCGTAACTCTCTCGCTGCACTGAGAAATATATTTAGAAGTATTTTAACTAATGGGGAATAATGGGAAGCTATATTTTTGTAGAATATAATCTCTAGCAGATAGAGGTTCACTTGTAAATTTCCTTATAAAGTAACATATTTTTTCAGTGCAACTACAACTTACTTTATTACTTACCCACTGGCCAGCTACTATATAGCCCTTTTACTATGTAATATATGTGTGTTACTGGAACAGAGAGACTGACTGACCGACGGGACAGACAGTGGCACTTTATTAATGAAAAGCGCAAAAGTTCTTTCTATTTTTTCCCATCCAGACCATTTCATTCCGCAGTAATAACGTTTTGTGCGTGTGTGTGGCCTGCATTTTGGGGTCAGGGCAGCTCTGGCTCTGGCGGAGATTTGTTAACCGAAAGTGAGCGGTTTCAGCAATCGGCCAAATGAAATGGACACGATACCGACTGCCATGGCGACTCAGTGAGGAAAGTTCGTCAGCCAAAAGCTGGAGGTCAGCAATTAGAGAGAGTTTAAGGGCCGATTTTTGTTCGCGACTGGATCTGGAAAGGCACTCGCTTCTTGTTAGCATGGGAAAGACTTTCATTTCAAAGATATGGTTAAATAGCTAAATAGTTCTTGGTACTCATTAAGTGAAGCTTGTTATATTTAGTGAACCTGATTCAGAACATATTCTGCCAGCTTATGTTGGATTTCCCCTTTTAATAAACTCTATGATTTCATTTTCATATCTGAAACCGAGCTCCTTGGCATTTTGTTTGTGTTGGAAGACCCAACCGAGCACCGCAAGCGGATAAACTCAACATAAAACTGCAGAAATCATAAAACACCCGACTCGTGCTCCTCCGGGGAGAAGACCGCCGGAAAGTGCACTGAAACTAGAAACTCGGGAAATGAAGTATTGATTGGAGGCGATTATTTTGAGCCTCCACCATGGAGGAGGAGGGGACATTCTGCTTTTTGCCTTTGTTTTCTGGATTTATTCTCTGTATTTAATGCTTTTGTATATTTTGTTGGTCGGGTCTTGGTGTTTTGCCCGTTTTGCCTGGCTGACAAGTCGTTGGCATCTCTGGCGCATGTTAATTATGCCAGCAACGGACTACCCGACTACCTACAAGATGTGGGCCGTGGCCACGATGAAAAGACCTTGACTCTCGCCAAGATCTTGATACGATTTATACAATTTTTGATTCATGGCGTCTCCGCTGTCTCCTCGGTCGCTATCTTTGGCGACTCGACTGCGGCGGCAAACCAACCGAATTAATTTCGTAGGCAAGGCATGTTGCCATATTTGCCGACGCGAGAATGTCGAGTTCGAATTCAATCAGCAATTTGCATACATTTGCAGGCCCGCAAAAAGAAGCTGCTTAGGCTTTAAAAGGCCGGATTAGCCACCCGCCCACGCCCAGAGCCTCCCTCCAAAAATCCCTCTCCCCGGTGTTTTAAATTTTAAATTTTCGAAGAGTCGCCGTTATGGGCCGGTGACCCACCAAAGTGTGGCAGCTAATGGGACAGCCAAGTGACAAACTGGCTGAGATTCCCAGCTAGGTGTGGGCCGCTGATTGACTGATTGATTGACTGACTGACTGACTGACTAACTGACTGACTACCACTCTTGCTCCGTGGTCTAAATAGGGGACCACTTGATCTCGAAACTCCCCCTCTCGGTTGCCAATTCAGAAGACTAGTCCAAACATTTGCGAATTGTTTAGCTTTTGGCTTTTGTCGCGCTGCCCACCAAAATAGATTGGCCAAATGGGGGAGGTGGCTAGATCGCATCTGTCTGAGATATCGTACGATTTTGTATATATAAACGAGACTTATTTTTGTTTTCGAGAGTGAAAAATATGAAATGCTCTTTAGACAATATTTAATGTT